TGGACAATTAAAGGTGATGAAAATGATTGATAGACATGATTTTAACAGATGTCAGGACCATTTGCTGGAATCTGGAGAGAGGCTGCATGCACTGATTCGTTGTTCTGAATTCTCCCCCTGTCAATCACCCCCTGGAGGCGGGGCAGCTCGTGCTATGTCATCAAAGCGAGCCGAGGCATTTCGCTGCCTCCCGAGAACAAAAGAGAAAGATCGCTCGAACTAAAGGGAATGAAAAAACTACTTTGGGCCACTGTAGTGATGTCACATATATTATGTTCTAGTAAGTAAGTAAGTTAGTAAGTTTTTTATTTATATACCGCCTTTTCACTGCAGATCTGAGTCTCAAAGCGGTTTACAATTGTTAATTATGGGCATTTGTCTCTCACTCCACACAGAGATGGGAGCGTGCCGCCCACGGTGGCTGAGTGGCTGTTCTGTTAACTTTACGCACTAAAGTCCACTTTGCATCCTTTCTGGGCTCGGCCGGATGTGACTCCTGGTTTCTTGATGGGAATGGTCTCAAAAAAAAAAGGGACTGATCAAACCTGTAAAGAAACATGTCACAGGTTCTGAGGTGTAAGTAAGTCATGTTTATTTACATAGCGCTTTTCTCAGAGTCACAAAGCACTTTATATTTATTTATTTATTTTTGGGCATTTGTCTCTCACTCCACACAGAGATGGAGTGAGGTCGCCTACAGGAGGCACATGCCAGATCTATTCTAGTGGTAGGGGAAACCGGAGCACCCGGAGGGGGCAAACTCTACTCAGAAAGGTCCTGTTCCGACCGGGATTTGAACCCAGCACCTTCTTGCTGAGAAGTGAAAGTGCTACTCAGCAAGGGCCACTCAGCCACCGTGCCGCTCACAGAGAGAAAGGTTAGTTTTACCAGACTGATGACTTTGCGTTAGGGCTGTCAAAATTATCGCGTTAACTCACGTTAATTACATTTTTCATTAACGCGTACATTCTTTTTAACGCATTAATGCATGTCCGAATGACCGCCCATTTATCCATAATCTCACTCAGAATGCTGCGTGTGAAATGCATCAGAGCAGGTAGGCCTTCTGGGTATTCATGTTTTAAAAGAATACGCGTGTGACTGCTGGACTGTTGTTTGCTGTGAACTGAAGTCCGCCTCCTCCACGGCCGCTCTGGTTGTGAGCCGCTAACAACAACACGGCTGTGAGCGGCTAACAACAACACGGCTGTGAGCGGCTAACAACAACACGGCTGTGAGCGGCTAACAACAACACGGCTGTGAGCGGCTAACAACAACACGGCTGTGAGCGGCTAACAACAACACGGCTGTGAGCGGCTAACAACAACACGGCTGTGAGCGGCTAACGACAACACGGCTGTGAGCCGCTAACAACAACACGGCTGTGAGCGGCTAACAACAACACGGCTGTGAGCGGCTAACAACAACACGGCTGTGAGCGGCTAACAACAACACGGCTGTGAGCGGCTAACAACAACACGGCTGTGAGCCGCTAACAACAACACGGCTGTGAGCGGCTAACAACAACACGGCTGTGAGCGGCTAACAACAACACGGCTGTGAGCGGCTAACAACAACACGGCTGTGAGCGGCTAACAACAACACGGCTGTGAGCGGCTAACAACAACACGGCTGTGAGCGGCTAACAACAACACGGCTGTGAGCGGCTAACGACAACACGGCTGTGAGCGGCTAACAACAACACGGCTGTGAGCGGCTAACGACAACACGGCTGTGAGCGGCTAACGACAACACGGCTGTGAGCGGCTAACAACAACACGGCTGTGAGCGGCTAACAACAACACGGCTGTGAGCGGCTAACAACAACACGGCTGTGAGCGGCTAACAACAACACGGCTGTGAGCGGCTAACGACAACACGGCTGTGAGCGGCTAACGACAACACGGCTGTGAGCGGCTAACGACAACACGGCTGTGAGCGGCTAACACCAACACGGCTGTGAGCCGCTAACAACAACACGGCTGTGAGCCGCTAACAACAACACGGCTGTGAGCGGCTAACGACAACACGGCTGTGAGCGGCTAACAACAACACGGCTGTGAGCGGCTAACAACAACACGGCTGTGAGCGGCTAACGACAACACGGCTGTGAGCGGCTAACAACAACACGGCTGTGAGCGGCTAACAACAACACGGCTGTGAGCCGCTAACAACAACACGGCTGTGAGCGGCTAACGACAACACGGCTGTGAGCGGCTAACAACAACACGGCTGTGAGCGGCTAACGACAACACGGCTGTGAGCGGCTAACAACAACACGGCTGTGAGCGGCTAACAACAACACGGCTGTGAGCCGCTAACAACAACACGGCTGTGAGCGGCTAACAACAACACGGCTGTGAGCGGCTAACAACAACACGGCTGTGAGCGGCTAACGACAACACGGCTGTGAGCGGCTAACAACAACACGGCTGTGAGCCGCTAACAACAACACGGCTGTGAGCGGCTAACAACAACACGGCTGTGAGCGGCTAACAACAACACGGCTGTGAGCGGCTAACAACAACACGGCTGTGAGCGGCTAACAACAACACGGCTGTGAGCCGCTAACAACAACACGGCTGTGAGCCGCTAACGACAACACGGCTGTGAGCCGCTAACGACAACACGGCTGTGAGCGGCTAACGACAACACGGCTGTGAGCGGCTAACGACAACACGGCTGTGAGCGGCTAACAACAACACGGCTGTGAGCGGCTAACGACAACACGGCTGTGAGCGGCTAACAACAACACGGCTGTGAGCGGCTAACAACAACACGGCTGTGAGCCGCTAACAACAACACGGCTGTGAGCGGCTAACAACAACACGGCTGTGAGCGGCTAACGACAACACGGCTGTGAGCGGCTAACGACAACACGGCTGTGAGCGGCTAACGACAACACGGCTGTGAGCGGCTAACGACAACACGGCTGTGAGCCGCTAACAACAACACGGCTGTGAGCCGCTAACAACAACACGGCTGTGAGCGGCTAACGACAACACGGCTGTGAGCGGCTAACGACAACACGGCTGTGAGCGGCTAACAACAACACGGCTGTGAGCGGCTAACGACAACACGGCTGTGAGCGGCTAACAACAACACGGCTGTGAGCCGCTAACGACAACACGGCTGTGAGCCGCTAACGACAACACGGCTGTGAGCCGCTAACAACAACACGGCTGTGAGCGGCTAACGACAACACGGCTGTGAGCCGCTAACGACAACACGGCTGTGAGCGGCTAACGACAACACGGCTGTGAGCGGCTAACGACAACACGGCTGTGAGCGGCTAACGACAACACGGCTGTGAGCGGCTAACAACAACACGGCTGTGAGCCGCTAACAACAACACGGCTGTGAGCGGCTAACGACAACACGGCTGTGAGCGGCTAACGACAACACGGCTGTGAGCGGCTAACAACAACACGGCTGTGAGCGGCTAACGACAACACGGCTGTGAGCGGCTAACGACAACACGGCTGTGAGCGGCTAACGACAACACGGCTGTGAGCCGCTAACAACAACACGGCTGTGAGCCGCTAACGACAACACGGCTGTGAGCGGCTAACAACAACACGGCTGTGAGCGGCTAACAACAACACGGCTGTGAGCGGCTAACAACAACACGGCTGTGAGCGGCTAACAACAACACGGCTGTGAGCGGCTAACAACAACACGGCTGTGAGCGGCTAACAACAACACGGCTGTGAGCCGCTAACGACAACACGGCTGTGAGCCGCTAACGACAACACGGCTGTGAGCGGCTAACAACAACACGGCTGTGAGCGGCTAACAACAACACGGCTGTGAGCGGCTAACAACAACACGGCTGTGAGCCGCTAACGACAACACGGCTGTGAGCGGCTAACGACAACACGGCTGTGAGCGGCTAACGACAACACGGCTGTGAGCGGCTAACGACAACACGGCTGTGAGCGGCTAACGACAACACGGCTGTGAGCGGCTAACAACAACACGGCTGTGAGCGGCTAACGACAACACGGCTGTGAGCGGCTAACAACAACACGGCTGTGAGCGGCTAACGACAACACGGCTGTGAGCGGCTAACAACAACACGGCTGTGAGCGGCTAACAACAACACGGCTGTGAGCGGCTAACAACAACACGGCTGTGAGCGGCTAACGACAACACGGCTGTGAGCGGCTAACAACAACACGGCTGTGAGCGGCTAACGACAACACGGCTGTGAGCGGCTAACAACAACACGGCTGTGAGCGGCTAACAACAACACGGCTGTGAGCGGCTAACAACAACAACGGCTGTGAGCGGCTAACAACAACACGGCTGTGAGCGGCTAACAACAACACGGCTGTGAGCGGCTAACGACAACACGGCTGTGAGCGGCTAACAACAACACGGCTGTGAGCGGCTAACGACAACACGGCTGTGAGCGGCTAACAACAACACGGCTGTGAGCGGCTAACGACAACACGGCTGTGACGAATGGCGCCGTGGTAACGTGGACATAAGACCAAACACGCCACAGAACTTCTCTGCAAATAGTGTCCGTGTCTTCTCCTGAAACTAAACTAAACTAAACTAAACTAAACTCGCTGAATTAAAGCTGCCCTTTCATTAACAGCTCATTTTGGTTGTGCCCAAAGCAAAAGGTTGTGACCAAATCCAACAGATTTAAGCACATTTGGTCTGAATGACATTGTATCATTACATTTGATAATCTCATTTAACTTCAATTGGAGTGGATTTGAAATAGAATGTTAAAAATGTGATTAATCATCACCATTTCTGTAAGATTAATCAACTAAAAAAATGTAATTGTTTGACAGCCCTACTTCATGAACATGAAGACTTGGCATTGGGGGTGGATGTTGCACAGGGCCTGGCAGTGCTCCGCCGAGATTGCGAAATGTAGAATTCCATAAGGTCCCTGGTCCAGCTGCACGTCCACATGAAGCTCCGCGGGACACACTGTCAAAGAGTAGAGTATGGTTTGTTACGGCAGGTTAAAGCCTGAAATGTTTTTGAACAAACCTTCTCCGGAGCCAAAGTCTGTTTTCATGATGTCGGAGAATCCACTGAAGGCGTTTGATGTCTCTATCGAGATCGGTGAAGGAATCGGCATCGAGAATTTGAGCTCGCACTCAGATCTACACACGACACAGAGGGAGGTGAGGAAACTTCAGTTCAACGTACGGTGGATGGAGAATCAGCGACCTTGACTTGTAGTAGGTGTAGAAGTAGCAGGACTGGTCTTCTCTGCATCTCTCTCGACACTCTTTGTGGTTGTTGGTTCGCAGCGTCGAGTACGTGTTTTGCACCCGGGAGTACGGATCGTTTATGAAGGCCACTTCATCGTACACTTCATCAAAACATGGATCTGAGGAGGAGACTTTTAAACCAGGATGAAACCAAAGAGACAGATGGACAACGATATCAGGACGCAGCTTTGAACTGGTGGGTTTTTCCTTTCTTTGGTTATTCTATGTTCCAGGATGGGCAGATGTAGTTTATTTTGTGCCTTTATATCCTTGCTCTGTACTATTTTCATTGTAATATGTAAAGTTTTATTTTAATTGACTTTGGAGGTGTGTTGCTCATTTACAGAACTGTGCAGGAGAGAAAAGTTTTTGTTTTTATGAGTCCCTCGCACCAGAAATGATTTTAAACTAAAGGCGTTCGGAAGTCGGCCATTTTTGAACGTAGAAGGCTCAGTCCTCAGGGTCCAGAAGGCTCAGTCCTCAGAGTCCAGAAGGCTTAGTCCTCAGAGTCCAGAAGGCTTAGTCCTCAGAGTCCAGAAGGCTCAGTCCTCAGAGTCCAGAAGGCTTAGTCCTCAGAGTCCAGAAGGCTCAGTCCTCAGAGTCCAGAAGGCTTGGTCCTCAGGGTCCAGAAGGCTCAGTCCTCAGAGTCCAGAAGGCTCAGTCCTCAGAGTCCAGAAGGCTTAGTCCTCAGAGTCCAGAAGGCTTAGTCCTCAGAGTCCAGAAGGCTCAGTCCTCAGAGTCCAGAAGGCTTAGTCCTCAGAGTCCAGAAGGCTCAGTCCTCAGAGTCCAGAAGGCTTGGTCCTCAGAGTCCAGAAGGCTCAGTCCTCAGAGTCCAGAAGGCTTAGTCCTCAGAGTCCAGAAGGCTTAGTCCTCAGAGTCCAGAAGGCTCAGTCCTCAGAGTCCAGAAGGCTTGGTCCTCAGAGTCCAGAAGGCTCAGTCCTCAGAGTCCAGAAGGCTCAGTCCTCAGAGTCCAGAAGGCTCAGTCCTCAGAGTCCAGAAGGCTCAGTCCTCAGAGTCCAGAAGGCTCAGTCCTCAGAGTCCAGAAGGCTCAGTCCTCAGAGTCCAGAAGGCTCAGTCCTCAGAGTCCAGAAGGCTTAGTCCTCAGAGTCCAGAAGGCTCAGTCCTCAGAGTCCAGAAGGCTCAGTCCTCAGAGTCCAGAAGGCTTGGTCCTCAGAATCCAGAAGGCTCAGTCCTCAGAGTCCAGAAGGCTCAGTCCTCAGAGTCCAGAAGGCTTGGTCCTCAGAGTCCAGAAGGCTCAGTCCTCAGAGTCCAGAAGGCTCAGTCCTCAGAGTCCAGAAGGCTTGGTCCTCAGAGTCCAGAAGGCTCAGTCCTCAGGGTCCAGAAGGCTCAGTCCTCAGAGTCCAGATGGCTCAGTCCTCAGAGTCCAGAAGGCTTAGTCCTCAGAGTCCAGAAGGATCAGTCCTCAGAGTCCAGAAGGCTCAGTCCTCAGAGTCCAGAAGGCTTGGTCCTCAGAGTCCAGAAGGCTCAGTCTTCAGAGTCCAGAAGGCTCAGTCTTCAGAGTCCAGAAGGCTTAGTCCTCAGAGTCCAGAAGGCTCAGTCTTCAGAGTCCAGAAGGATCCGTCCTTGAGGGGTTGGTTCCCAAAGGGGGAGCTAGAGGCTGATGGAGGAGGTCGATGAGATATAAGAAGATTATGAAGGGACTTCTGGTGATGAGGAGGACCTTATATTGTATGCTACGCTGCAGGACGCCAGTGGAGGGGTTTGAGGATGGGGGTGATGTGGTCTCTGGAGCAGGCATGTTACTTTTTCAAAACTGTTCAAGGTTAGATCAACTGACAAATAAACTGCTTACTTTTTTACTTTTAACAAAATACAATTAGATGAAAAACACATGTGATATTTTTATAACGTTTAAAAAAGTGTATTTATTACATGTATCTGTTCACTGCAAAAGAACTCATGCCCTTCTGAGGAAAAATAACATTTACCGGCAAAACACACAGAGGATGAAAACTGGGAGTAAAGAAGAAGACTCACTTTTGGATTGTGGACAGCCCCTGAGGCTATAGCCGGAAATTACTCCAGCCATTTTTGTACGTTTTAAAGTGTGAATCCTTTCCCCTAACGTGCAGACATACTTGCTGTGGAAACAGAAGGAGAAAAGTTTGTTTTAATGGTTTCTGAAGCAACACAGTTCATAGAGGTTAAATCCTCCAGCTCCAGTCCTGAGTTAGCCTGGTCTTATTAATCTGTACTCTCCGCTCAATCATCATGTCCTGCATGTAACGTCTGGGTCTGGTCCCTGTGTTTGTGATTACAATCTGTTGAATCCCATCCGACCAATCAGAGAGCGCGGGAGGCGGGTGTTGTAGTTAGATGTGGATGACGTCAAGAGTTTGCGCCAAACAGGCAGGTTGTAGTTTGGCGAAGAATGCGATAGTAAAGTATTCTGCTCTGGTTCTATCAAGAAACTGAAGCCGGAGCAAGAGGAACGTTTAGTAAAAGTAATCTCTGCAAAGATTGTGGGACTACTCCCCACGGGCTCCGTTAGCGGCAAAGGAGAAGGCTAAAGCTAGGCTAAATGCTAAAGCTACGCTAAAGCTAGGCTAAATGCTAAAGCAAGGATAAATGCTAAAGCTAGGCTAAATGCTAACGACTCACTCGGGCTCATTACATACGTCACAGTAAACTCAGATCCAATAGTTCCAATCTGCAAAAGGAGTTAGCCCCTCCCACCTGTTCACGGAGTCAATGGAGCAAATCCAGACCTTAGTACAAATGTAATTAGTACAAATGAAATGTGTACTATGGTGTGGTAACGCAGGTGTCAATTTGACAAACTGTGTGCTATCTTGAGTTAGTTTTATCTTTGAGCGTGATGTCACTGCGTTCGACACGACGTTCATCCAATCCATGTTCAATATAGCCGCTATGCCGGAAGTGTTCAGTACTAGCGAGAGCAGAGCGTGTTTTGGATGTGCTGCGGGTACGGTAACGCTTTTAACCATCAAAATCATTAAGAACTGTTCTGAAACTTACTTTGATTCATTTAACACGCAGGAGTCGACTGCCTTTATGTCATACTTTACAAAACTGCCGCGTATGTTAGAGTTTACACGCGGAATTGGCATATTGATGGCGAGCTAGAGTCCACTGGAAGCTGACCCTCTGATTCTGGACCCTGAAGGAGCTCCTCCTCCACCACTGGTCCTGGGCTGAGGCTCCCACAGCCTATAATCGAACTCTTGCACACAGCACTTTATTGTGGTCCCTACAACTGAGTCATATCTCAACACTACTCCTTGGACACTTACCTATTCCTTCCCAAACCCATCGACTGCAATAATCAGTGTTGGAGAATCCCAACTCTGGGATTTCTGTGTTGAAACTTTGGACTAAGTGAATGCACTCACACTTTACGGGACTTAAAGAACTTAGAGTCTACTTGATTACCTGAGTCTACTTGATTACCTGAGTCTACTTGATTACCTGAGTCTACTTGAATACCTGAGTCTACTTGAATACCTGAGTCTACTTGATTACCTGAGTCTACTTGATTACCTGAGTCTACTTGATTACCTGAGTCTACTTGAATACCTGAGTCTACTTGAATACCTGAGTCTACTTGATTACCTGAGTCTACTTGAATACCTGAGTCTACTTGATTACCTGAGTCTACTTGAATACCTGAGTCTACTTGAATACCTGAGTCTACTTGATTACCTGAGTCTACTTGATTACCTGAGTCTACTTGATTACCTGAGTCTACTTGAATACCTGAGTCTACTTGATTACCTGAGTCTACTTGATTACCTGAGTCCACTGGACCTTTGTTTATTTTCATATTGTAAAGATTGTACTCGAGTATTGCATTATATTGAATGGCCGTTCACTGTTTTCACTGTATATAATTTTCCAGTACATGGTGCAAACCAAAGGTATCGTTTCTGCCTCCTCTCTCCCAGAGTCGTTTCTAGGGTTTCTGATACTAGCCTAAATGAACCAATCTCTCTAGTATAGTGAGATTAACGAACTAAAGTGCATTTCTTATACAACTAGCTACTGGTCTTAATTAGCTTTTGATAACGTATATACTACAGTGTGCTACGACCAGGCTTGTACTAAACAAGCTGAGCATTAACATCTGGATCTGTGGCTTTTTGATGTCACATTTGGCACAGATAGAATCAGATTTGTGCAAAAGACACAACTGTTAAAGGTTAAAAATAAAATCTGTGCAGGATATAATTATGTACAATAAGGAAGTGGCAACAAAAGAAAGAATGGCAACAGCAGCAGGTTTTTCAGTCCTAGTGCATTAGTTAAAGTGACTTATTGTAGAGTCTGACAGCAGGGTCAAATGCAGAGGAGGAATTGCCCGACGGGGTTTAATACATTGCACCTTCACCGATTAATACAGTGTACCTTAACAATAACACAGACACAATGAGATTGTTCTATTGTCCTCGAGAAAGAGGAAACAGCTGTTTGGAAAAGTACTTGTGGCAGTCTGGGTTCTGGGTGCACATCAGCTGACAGTGGCGAGCGCTTGGAGAGTGATTATTTTGATCATAGCGCCTTGACACGAACTCCTCATCCTCATAGAGCTCCATGTCACAGCGTGGAACAGAACCTTCAGACCAAATAAAAACAGGTTCAGACTCAATTTGAACGATTCATTTCATTTCATTTTTTAACGTCTTAATCACAACAGTCGTCTCACAGGACGTTGCAAAGTTCACTGATCCTCCACTTGGTCCGTGTCAGTATCTGATCGTACCCAATGAGACGAGGCCTTCATATGTTTGTGTTCAATAAAATGTCCAGGATAAAAAGGTCTTACCCTGACCCAGGCAGAGGGCGATGCACAGGGAGATCAGAGCCAGACTCAGTGTTCGCTCCATAGTCCTGGGACTTCAGCCCCAACATCTGTCTTTAAATACTCTTCAGCTTCAGGAGAAAACAACTGAGAAACAGGATTTGACACATTATGTAAATGAAGCTGATATTTAAAGACAAACACAAACCATGGGACACTCCAAGAGTAAATGTTAGTGTACATGATGTACGTGTCCCAGTTAAGTCAAAAACATGTAAAGTCATATTTATACAATGCTTAAAGCTAAATGCCAATTCTCAAAAGTTTGCAATTAATTAACAACAGCTTTTTTATTTATTTTGAAGTTAATGATCCTGTAATCTTCTGTTCAGGAAGTACTTTATGATTTATTGTCTGATGATATTTTGGTTTAAGCAAAATAGATCAACATCACTATGTTAGATTAATTTAGGACACATGATATTTCTTAATTAAGCAAATATGTATTTGGTGTTTTATAGATCCCCAAGAGGCTTCAACTCCTTACAAAGGGCTTTACAAAGAACGGTAAAGAGCTATTTGAGGGAAGGAAAACAAACTGGACAAAAATATACAAACGTAGGGACATGACTTGTGGGGTACCACAGGGGTCATTACTAGGACCCACAATATTCATTATGTGCCTCAAACTCTCCAATTTGATCCAATCCATAGACTTTTCTGATGACACTTTATTAAAGACGATATACCCGATTTTACTTTTTTCAAATGAGTTCATAAAAATGCGTATTATTACATATGAGTTGTATTATAATCCGTAATTTATTCTTAACTTGAGCTCATTGATTCATCTGTGGATGAACTCAGGCCGTAAAAAGTGCTGAGTAGAGACTTAGCGTGACGCCCGCTCTCCTCCAATCACAGAGCGAGGCTGCGTCCTCTAGCCTCTACAGCGCTGCTAAACACAGTAGCATGTTAGCATAAGTGGCTATAACTCCTCTGGCTGTAACTGCAGACACAGCAAAACAGCCCAAACCACACAACAGTGAGGAAGAGAAGAGGAACTAAAGCCACAACATGATCAAAGAAGAAATCAAGCCCTGAACAGAGCTAGCTTACATCGTATCCTCTGGAGAGACTGGTCTGAAGGAGAGACCTGCGGGACCGCCTCGGACTATCTACGCTCGGACTATCTGTGCTCGGACTATCTACGCTCGGACTATCTACGCTCGGACTATCTACGCTCGGACTATCTACGCTCGGACCATCTACGCTCGGACCATCTACGCTCGGACTATCTACGCTCGGACTATCTACGCTCGGACTATCTACGCTCGGACTATCTACGCTCGGACTATCTACGCTCGGACTATCTACGCCCGGACTATCTACGCTCGGACTATCTACGCTCGGACTATCTACGCTCGGACTATCTACGCCCGGACTATCTACGCTCGGACTATCTACGCTCAGGCTATCTACGCTCGGACTATCTACGCTCGGACTATCTACGCTCGGACTATCTACGCTCGGACCATCTACGCTCGGACTATCTACGCTCGGACTATCTAAGAGATAAGATAAGATAAGATGTGCTTTATTTATCTCACAGAGGAGAAATGTACATGTCACATTTGGCATGGATAGAGACACATTGTGCAAAAGGAGGAAATGTGCACATGTTACATGCAGGATATATGTACAATAAAGTGACAATAATTATGTACAACAAAAGTGACAAGTGTCAATTGGAAACAGTGTCAATAGTAGTGCAGGTTTTCACACAGTGATCATTTAAAGTGACTTATTGTACAGTCTGACAGCGGTGGAGATAAAGGCCCTGCTCCTTCTTCCACTGAAGGAGCTCCTCAGCTCCTCTACAGTCCTGTGCAGTGGGAGGTGTTGTTCATGATGGAGGTGGCTTTGGCTAGCACCTCCTGTCCCTCACCTCCTCCACAGAGTCCAGGGGCCTCCTGTCCCTCACCTCCTCCACAGAGTCCAGGGGCCTCCTGTCCCTCACCTCCTCCACAGAGTCCAGGGGCCTCCTGTCCCTCACCTTCTCCACAGAGTCCAGGGGCCTCCTGTCCCTCACCTCCTCCACAGAGTCCAGGGAGCAGCCCAGAGTGGAGCTGGCCCTCCTGACCAGCTCGGACTATCTACGCTCGGACTATCTACTCTCGGACTATCTACTCTCGGACTATCTACTCTCGGACTATCTACTCTACTCTCGGACTATCTACTCTCGGACTATCTACTCTCGGACTATCTACTCTCGGACTATCTACTCTCGGACTATCTACGCTCGGACTATCTACTCTCGGACTATCTACTCTCGGACTATCTACGCTCGGACTATCTACTCTCGGACTATCTACTCTCGGACTATCTACTCTCGGACTATCTACTCTCGGACTATCTACTCTCGGACTATCTACTCTACTCTCGGACTATCTACTCTCGGACTATCTACTCTCGGACTATCTACTCTCGGACTATCTACGCTCGGACATTTGGACGTGAAACTAGCGGTAATCTTTCAGTTATATATTGTGTTAGCAGTGCGTTGCTTTTGTACCATTTCATCAGTGATTGTTGTACAGCTTAAGTTGCGCTAATGCTAATGTTAGCATATAGATCACAAATAAAACTAGATGGCTCCGTGGGAGGAGAGTGTAGAGGAAATGAGAAGCCTGTGAGCGAGTTGGGGGCGGAGCTAAACATTCAAACCTGCACAAACAGGTACAGCTCCTTTAAATGTGCAGGTGATGAGCAAAAGCATCGTTTGGTCACAGTAATGAGGCTCACTGCACTCGTGGAGGAGAACTTTACCCGACAAGATACTAGCTTAAAATCGTTAGCATCAAAGCCCGCCCATCACTTCTGTCCTGATAATAATCACAATTCATTAAAACGAGTAAAGATAAAATCCTTCATTTGTTGCAGAAACAGAACCGTTTTTAACCTGGTTTTAAACATTGTCAGAGAAGAAACCTGTCTCACATTTTCAGGAAGACTGTTCCAGATTTTAGCAGCATGAATCTGAAATGCTGCCTCCCCATGTTTAGTTCTGACTCTGGGACCAGTCCCCGTGCTCCTAGAGTCCCAGCAGGAGGCCAGTCCCCGTGCTCCTAGAGTCCCAGCAGGAGGCCAGTCCCTGTGCTCTTCAGAGTCCCTGCAGGAGGCCAGGCCCTGTGCTCCTCAGTCCCAGCAGGAGGCCAGTCCCTGTGCTCCTCAATCCCAGCAGGAGGCCAGTCCCTGTGCTCCTCAGTCCCAGCAGGAGGCCAGTCCCTGTGCTCCTCAGTCCCAGCAGGAGGCCAGTCCCTGTGCTCCTCAATCCCAGCAGGAGGCCAGTCCCTGTGCTCCTCAGTCCCAGCAGGTGGCCTGTCCCTGTGCTCCTTAATGCCGTTACACGTTCTCTGTTGTATGACGTGTGATTGATATCACATATGAAGCCTGCAGGGGGCAGTGTTTCATGTAGTCCAACTTAATTCAAAGACATGTGTAGTGATGAATTGGGTCCGTGTACTTTTGCGTTCAATGCATTTTATATTTTTGAAGGGAAATGGAAAATCAAAAAAAGGCTATTTTGCATTTTCAAACACGTCTGTGTTTGGACAAATACAGCAGGTCATTTGCGGCGGAATTATTACTTTACAAATTACAGACGTGGATCATTCGCACAGGACTAAGATCTCAGACGTCGTCCGTGATTGTCACTAATTATCAGGGGTCCACCGCGCTGAAGTAAACAAACTCGTTTCACTTCTGGGAAATCGATTGAGGCCGAAATGTATTAAATGCACAATAAAAAAAGGTTCATTATTGCATTTTATTATATGACTTGGATTGTGCGCTCTGATTGGCTGATAACCGGTCTGATATTTTCCCATCTCGGACCGTTACCATGACAACTGGTCCACAGCACGTGTCACATTTGATATCTTTCTCAGTGAATTCTATCATCAGGACGAGTTGGAAGAGCCAGAGGAAGTAATAACAGCAAATAACGACGAAAACACAACTCCAACAGTCAAGAAGAGATCGACAACTTGGTTACAGACCAGAAAGGTAAAACCAGGAGCAGGAAAACCAAGTGGGACATGAACATCACAAATATGTAAAAAGCATTGGTAAAGACACAGACTGAGAACTTACAGCGGGCGCCTCAATCCTCTGTTCTTCATGTCACAGTTTGGTCAAATGTGTTTTTACTTCAAACCCGTCCATATTTGCATAAATTAAAAATAGTCATATAATAAAACATGATCCGGGCGCCAGAACTCACCGCGTGGAGCTAATCTCACTGGTAAAGTACCATGTGGCGCAGAACTTAAAAAGGTCTCGTTATGATTCTCAAATCATTAACGACAAAACAAGGAATAAAAGCAGGATTTCTATCTTTGTAAAAAAGGTGTTGGTTATAGATTTGTTGTTGACAAAACTCTTGTCTATTCAGCTGTTATGGTCCCTGCTGGATTCGTCTGCATATCTGGCAACCTGAGTCAGGGAGAGTGGGAGAGGCTGCAGTACCACTTTTGGCCACATGTTTACAAACTGCTCCTTTAAAACAAGATTCTCAAATGCGACTAAACAAAATGATCACGTTTTCTAAAAGATGTAGAAATGTCTCCTTTAGAACGAGAAAATGAAGTTCTAGAATAAAACTAAATGACTTTGTGGAGATTTGGAGAATCTGGTTTTACCACCGTCACAATATGTCAGATTAAGATAAAAACACTTTATTACTTCATATTTGATAAATTTTTGCAGTGCATATTAGCGATTTCATTTGCATTAAATACAAAAATACATTGAGTTGAAGTTGAATTGATCCAGGACATTTTGCAGCAGATGAAGCAGTAAGTAAGTGAGTGAGTTAGTGAGGAGGAAACCGGAGCAGACACAGGGAGAACATGCAAACTTCACTCAGAAAGGCCAAAGCCTAATTCCACAGTCCGTTCAGATGGTCCACTATAACATTTCATTGCTCTGCTCTTTCTGCTTGTCATCACCAATGGAGGCCTCTGATTGGTTGAAAACATGATTTAAGAGCCGCAGCTGAACGAGAGGTCGCCGCGGTTACAC